TTCCAATAACTGTTCCGAAGAAGGGTAAACTAATGTTTCCAAATTCTGCCATGTTATCCTGACGTAATTAATTTTTTATGTAATACCCTTATATCGATCACTCATCGTCTCCCTTGATTCTGATTCTCCCTACTGTCGTCATTTATTTTCTCTATTCGACTGTCATTTCCAATATCTATGTTTATACCTCGAAAGTAACTGCCGAAATTCTCAGGCTTTGCACTTACTGTTGACTCGGATTTTCGTACAGGGTTGTTATGTACTAAGGGATGTTTTCTTTGTTTACTGGAAATACACAGTTTGGAACAGTTTGGAATTCTCATCCGGTCGGTCTTTGTAAAATATATATACTGTAATGAAAAAAAAAAAAAGTTTAATCTCCCGAGGCAAGTCGAATCGTAGGTACCCTTAAAACTTTTTGAAATTTTCATCCGTGGCAGAAGATTTTGTGAAAGAGTCGCTTGCGAAAATTTTCTGGACGCTCGGAAATATATTGGCGTGAATGAGAAACCAGGTCAACGCCGTATCGAAGCATGTTCGATTAATCGACCACTGGACTGCTAGTATTGTTTTTACGATGGCCAATTATCCGGCTGACTGTTTTCCCGATTTTTACCTTCCAGCAATTTCATTCGCGTGGCAAACTTGTTGTTTTTTTCCTGTAATTTATTTTTTTTTTACATTTTTTTATTTTCGCCTTCACTTGCACAATAATGAAATGTCTACGAGTCACGGTCTCCGTCGTTTCTCTCACTTTTCATCGGATACAACAGAGCGGGTTAAATTTGTCGAAACTTTCGGAAGGCTTGAAATTGAAAATTTTAATTTAAGACGCCCGAAAGACGCCCTCTCCAGTTTCGTTCGTAAACTTCAAACTTTCCATACAATCCAATCCTAGTTGGCCGATTACGTCGTGGGTAATTCTTTTTTTTTTTTTTCTAAATGGGTGAACTTTCACGTCATCCCTAGAATTGTTTAGTACCTATATCTTACGTTGTTTGTCTTTTTATCCCTTAGTTCGATTTTTTATTTTGTAAAAAAACCTGCGAAAATAACTTCCTAAGCTGAAATCAAGGTCGACCTGACACCTCTTGGGCTTCCTTGCAATCGAATCGAATTAGAATTGCCCTCAAAACAATTATCTTCAAGACTAACTTTATTAAACACTTTCAAGGTAAACAGCATGGATAATTCTATGGATTAGCATGCGCCGTTCCTCTTAACCCTTTTGCAATACTACTTTTCTGTGTATCGATCGACCAAGCAGCTCCGACATATCGTTCCTCGATCCGTTTTGAAATTGAAATTGAAATTTGAAGCGCACGATTTTGGCCTATAAAAAAACTAGAGGAAAAAAATTGAAAAAAAAAAAATAATTTTCAAAATCAACAAAAAATTGTCATACAAACTTGAATTTGTCTGTCCTTAAAAAAGATTTCTTATATAAGCGCCTGGCGCCGACCTTGTCAGGTCTCTATTGACCCATTGGGATTTTCCATACACCAGACAGTTTCACTAGAGTAAAAGACCTGGTTGTGCCTAAAAAAAAAAAATGTGAAAAATATTTCAAAAAGTAAATTACCCAAAAATTGCATGAAATATTTTTTTACTTGTTTTCAAATAAAAAATATGAAAATATACCAAAAACCACGTGAATCGCGTTACGCGAATAATACGTGTGTGAACAACAATTACTTATCGAGATATAATCTCGGATTATCGATAAACGCTCCGAATTATTAATCAGGATGAAGATGCTGCAAGGATATTTCAGTTAATATCAAGCATAGGTAACAATAGTGTTTCGTACGGTGCTATAGAATTTTCGTGATGTATGAATTATCGATATCCCATATCACAGATTCGATTCCCGCGCATGCGTTAAATTCGCGATTCCACCCCGTGTCGAAATTGATCCATGCAATTATGCAATTATGCACAGGCACAGATTGCACATCCATGCAGAATAAAGTTCGACGTTCATTATCAGTGCTGGATAAATATTTTCAGGCTGGTTCGCAATCGGCCGCAAAATTAAATATTAGGTTGGGGAAAAAGAAATCCATTATTTTTTTCGCCTGATGGCTACAACGATATATATCTCGTAAAGTATTATCCAGACAAATTCAGACTTGTGCTCGTTGTAAAAGTGACGTTCCATACTAAAAAAAATTCTTCTATAGTTTTTTGATTGGTTGATTCACTTCTGAGCTATAGGGTGGTAAAAGATGGATTTTACAATTTTGCTTTGATAAACGCGAAAATGCAAGCCAGGCGGCTGAAATCGTGAATAGTGTTTATGGTCCCGATACTGTCACACAGCCAATTACGTGCAATTTTGGTTTCGTCGATTCCGTTTCCGGTATTTTCGATGTTAAAGATGCACCTCGCGCAGGTAGGCCAATCGTCGAAATTGTCGATAAAATCATGGAAGTGATCGAAGTAGACCGACATGTTAGCAATCGCAGTATCGCCCAGGAGCTAAAGATCGACCACAAAACAGTTTTAAACCATCTTCATAAAGCTGGATTCAAGAAGAAGCTCGATGTTTGGGTGCCACAGGAATTGACGCAAAAAAACTTGATGGATCGAATTTCCATCTGCGAAGCCTTGGCGAAACGGAACGAAATCGACCCATTTCTTAAACGGATGGTGACTGGTGATCAAAAATGGGTCACATACGACAATATTGTGCGAAAACGATCGTGGTCAAAGTGCGGTGAAGCAACTCAAACGGTGGCCAAACCAGGAATAACCGCCAGGAAGGTTTTGCTGTGCATTTGGTGGGACTGGAAAGGAATCATCTACTATGAGCTGCTTCCATATAATCAAACACTAAATTCGGACCTCTACTGTCAACAATTGGACCGCTTGAAGCTAGCGATTGACCAGAAGCGGCCGCAATTGGCCAACAGGAAAGATGTTGTGTTTCATCAGGACAACGCCAAACCACGCACGTCTATAGTGACTCGCCAGAAACTCCGGGAACATGGTTGGGAAGTTTTGATGCATCCACCTTATAGTCCGGACCTGGCACCAAGCGATTACCATCTTCTTTTATCATTGAAAAACTTCCTTAGTGATAAGAAACTGGCATCAAGAGGAGATTGTGAAAACAGCTTCATCGAGCTTTTCGCCACTGGGGACCAGGGCTTCTATGAGAGAGGCATTATGAAGTTACCTTTAAAATGGCAACAAATTATAAAACGAAACGGTACACATTTGACCCAATTCGGACAATCCGAACCATGTTAAATGAAGTCTTGAAATAAACTTAAAAATAATGGATTTCTTTTTCCCCAACCTAATATCTGTAACGAGCGAATGTCCTCCCAATTCTTTTTTTTTTCTTTCTCCTCAGTGTAAAATCAACACCCCCTATAACACGGAATTACAGTGTCATTCGCCGATCGTCGATATGAATTCGAGGATTATCTAAAAAAAAAAAAAAATGTCGGATCACCTCCCTCACCCCAAAAAGGGTTGTCGATAACGCTGTTGGCAAGGGGATAACAGCTCGTTGCATCATTGACTGATATTTTCAAAAAATACTCATGTCGTGCGACCATCATCACAGACGTAGGTATCGCGGCTGATGGCCATTTTGAAAGTGGGTTATACCCTCCGTAAAAGCAACGTTCCTTCTCCTTGGGTTCTGTCGTCGTTTGATTAAGTGGAAGGGTGCAGATAAGAGGTTGCCATAACGTAAACGATGTAGATAGCTTGGTGGAGCGAAAAAAAATATCCACATTTTCCTGAAGAGCCGTGCAGCTTTGCTTTGGTACAGGAACGAATGAATAAATCGTGAAGAGTGAGTGGTACGAGGGCAGGGGATGAAGGGGGGAGAAATGGAAAAAATGCTGTATGCGGTTTTTCGATATTTTTAAATAAAAAAATTTACTAATATCGAGTATTTACCACATTTGCATAGGGCTGCTTGACGACGCCTTGTGCATTAAAAACGATAATTTTCGTCTCCCTGTGCGAATGTAAGCGTTATTTTGAAAAAAAAAAATTATGCAATTTTCACGGTTTTCTTTTATGTAAAGCATTTTGGAATATACACATAGGTATTCCGTATGTGGGAATGTCTAATTGTAGAAATGGAGGAAATTACGTATTCAGAAATACACCTGGATCCATCTTAGTTTTAGAATTTCGATTTTTTTCTTCGTCTTTCTCATTTTCACATTAGAACGAGGAGTCAATGCAGAAATAGAGTGAACGACTGGTAAAATGTCTTGAGATTCAAAATATTTTCAAAAAACAATCGAGTCTTGTTCAATCAATTTTCTTTCCTTTTACCGGTTGCACATGGAATCAATATGATTATTTTTTCGATTTTGAAAATTATCGAAATTATCATTTATTTGATAAACCATTCCAGACACCTTACCGTTGTGTTTTTAACGACACTACGCGATCGAAGATCCAAAAGTCTTGAGCTTGTATTAACGGAGTATCATGAGAAGTTGATCGAGATCAATAAAATTAGACATTAATTTATTGAAATCAATAAAGATCTCCTCGACACTCTTGATCGATACCAGTAACAATCCAGCTTGGATAATCAGACCCGGAGCGAGTCCTCATTAAGTACCAAAGTCAAACATCTGTTTACATTTAAATAGATGGTATGAAGATAATTGAAAAAATAATGATCTCTCATAAAGCTCAGCATCTTCCTTTGATCATCTTGCTCTGGTTACGTTTCTCAAAAATATATGACGTTTTCCATATCCTCTCTCACTCTTTCTCTCTCCCTGAGAGAAAGAGAGAGAGAGGAGAGAAAGTGTCCCTATTAATATACGAGTGTCCCTCCCCACTTAAAAAAAAAAAGTACCCAAGCTTTTCTGTGACGTAATTAATTAATCCCCCAAAAGATGAAATCCGTTTTGACATATCTGTACGTCAGCCAGTGGAAACTCGTGTCGAAAGGAATGGCCGTAAGGTTATCGGGCTAGATATTCTACGAGGCATGTGTATTCGTAATTTTGCAGATAATTCTGGTGGAGATAATTCGGGTGGATGATCTGGATGAAGATGAGACCGGGTGGTTCGAGGTCCTTGTGAAGGAGCGAACCGTGAGGTGTCCCAGTGAAGACAGTAGATAGTGAAAGTGAGTGAGAAGGTGTGAAAGATGTGATCGTGAAATTAGTGAAAGGACAAGGACAAAGACAAGCTCTGGTCCAGGAGAGGACGAAGGACTATGGATGGCAGGAGGGTGGCAAGGGAGACGAGGAGCAGGATGGCGTTGACCGTGTGGCAGATAGTCTAGAGAAGGGTCCCGGTGATGGAGTCGGGGAAAGTGGGTGGCGGGAGCCCCGGCTCGCACTCGCCGGCCCTGCCTGGCTACGGGGTCAGCGGGGATGGCAACGTCGATTACATTATCAGTGATTACATGGAGCGGCTTGGAACGCGGCTAAACATCCTCGAGACCGAGCTGAAGTATGCTTGGCGCGCATTGGATTTGCTCAGTCAGGAATACATTAAGATGTGGGAGAGGCTTGAGAAATTGGAAGGTTTGCTCTACGAGCAGCAAACGGTAATAAGTCAGCTGATTGAGTTTTACGCTGGTGGCGGTGGGGGTGGACCTGGTGGTGGTCCTACCGGTGGTCCAGGGGATACTGCCGGTAACGTTAGGGAAGCTTTGATCGGTCAGCAGACGTCGGTCGGCGAGCTGGACGCTATCGCTGAGAGTCTTGGAGCCGCAATAGGCGTCGAGGAAACCAGCGTTCTCAGGGAGAAACTAGCTCAGCAGGAATTGGCCAGGATGCACGGACTTACTCAGGACAGCTCGACGGCAGCTGCCGCCGTGACGGACATGCACAGGAACGTTCGAAACGTCGAGAGGGAGAGCACCCTTGAGACTCTCGAGGAAGAGGCTAACACACCGGATGAAGCTTTTTACAGGAGCTTGAATAACGCCTACAGGGAAGATCTGATCTGCGGGGAAACGTCCAGGCCGACTTCGCAGTTGGGTATGATATGGGAAGAGGCTGAAGAGACTGAGGACGCTAATGGGAAGAAAGAAGATTTGAGCTTCGAGAAAACATCCTCAAAGGAGAAACTTGATGAGAACGATGAGGGCAATAAGCATGAGGCTGATGAGGAGAAACAGGAGGAGGGCGATGACGAGGATGAAGATCAGGGTGAAGTGTTCAGTGCTGCGGATTATAAGAGCTACCGTGGAAATACTCCTTGCATCAGCGAGCAAGACCTGGCTCAGTTGTCCAGATTGAGTTCTATCGATCAAGTGGCACTGGAGAAGCTTCACGAATTGGATAGGCTGACGTCACAACTCCAGCAGGACTCGCAAAATCTGATAGAGTTGCAATCGCGACTAATGGAGTCGCCAAAGAGACAGTATGCATCGGAGGCCGAAGCGAAGTTGGCCGAAGAGGCGACCAGCATCGATGAGCAGCTGAGAAAGATCTATGCGGAGACCGACGTGGACAGTTGGACGTATTCAAAGAGTCCTAGTTCGACGGGTAGGTCCGTTTCGAGAGTTAGTACTGATAGTGGATTGGCGACGGATGGTGACTATACCACGAGATCGATTTCTCCTAGATTAACCTTAGGAACCAGAACGGGTCTGGATTCTCATTCTGCGACGACCTATACGCCACCACGACTGGGATACACTTCGGCTCTCTTGGAGAAAAGTCCCGAACAGGTTATACAGCTTCCGATCGACGTGGGTAACTTCGCTAAGGGTTACGCAGAGAACAAGGAACTGACCGACCTCATGGCTGAAAGTTTTGCTGCGGTTACCTGCGCTTCGCCAACTATTTACAATGCGACTACGGAAAAGATTTCTTCACCGACCTTGTCGGCCGGCAGCGTCCAGAGTGTCCACAGTGTTCAGAGCCTCAGGACACGACAGGATGGGTACCTGGGTAGCGGAGCGAGGTTAAATTTGGATTTCGCAGAGAGCAGGACCCCGCCAAGTCCATCTCCGAGTTCGCCACCGCCGCCAGCTCCTCAGGACACGGGAGACAGTTTCCTGATGCCGAGCGCCGACCAGCGTGAGCTACCCGAAAGCAAACGCTCGCAGAGTCCTGGATTCCTCAGGAACACCGAGAAGCTTCTGGAACAGGGTAGACTAAGTCCGAGGACGCCGCACTCGCCGAAATCGTCCCCACGCATTTCACCGAAGCACACGAGCAAAGGCGCCGCTATCGTCGCCGCCAAGTCTGACTCGGGTCTGTCCTCCATGAGCGGCTGGAGTAGCCTAGACAAGTCTCCAGGCTCGCCGAAAAGTTCAATCAGCAAATTGCTCACTTCCTACTCGGTGGATCATACCCGCACTGCTCTAGCACCCACAACCCAGCCACTGATGTCGGCCAGTCCGATACCGCCCTTACCAGAAGCTGCGACAGCCCTTACTCAGGAACCACTCTACGACACTCCAGAAGGTAGGGATGCCTTCGCGACTTCCGCTATGGCGACGACGCATTCCTTCGCCGCCACTGGGAATCATCTACCTGGTGCGGTGCTCGTTAAGTCGCCACCTAACAAAGACGAGTTCGGCTTCGTTCCACCCCCAGCACCCAGCGTGTCGTCCTGTTCCAGTCCGAAGAAAAGAGGACGACAGCAGAGCCTTCAGCAGGGACTGTCCCACACGTACGACAGCGTACCCCCTGGAACAGTCGACTTCTCCTATCGCCCCGAGCAACCGGCTATATACTCTGTTGCTGGTAGCAACCGGCAACAAGCTGTCACGTGTATCTACACCAGCGTAACAGGCTCTTACGGATGGCGTGCCAGCTGTGCGGGATACATGCCTGACTCCATGGAGCCGTATTCGGGCTATCAGGATAATTATGGGCTACAGTATCCAGAAGCACATGGGAAGAAAGGATCATCCAGGACCTACGGGGAAGGAATGTCGAATCACGAAGGTTACAAAACGGCCATGTATCGCACGATGTTTCCTACCGGTAACATTACCGATGCTCTCTCGTATTATCCCACGAGTGCTAATCTACCGCGAACGGAGACCAACGAGAGTTCCTGGTTGAACTCGATGGAAGGTCAGATACCCCACGACTCGACGTCCTCGAGTATAAGATCCTTGACGTCCGACGGAAGTTACGCCCAGAGTCCGTATACGGACAGAAGATATCCACAGCCGCCCTCCTATCAAGCTCAACAGTACCATACTTATGCTAATCAGTATCCCCAAGGGTATCAGCAGTCCTATCAGCCCTACAGTCAGAGACTTACTCATTCGGAGAGTGCGCAATTGGCCGATGGTTATCAGAGACAGTGGCAGCGCGAACATCAGTACATTCAGGATCAGCAGGAGGGCGGTAAAGTTCAAAGTGACCAGACACAACATCAGCAGGGAGATTATTACGACACTTCCGGTGTTATCGTGTCCCAGTCGGGATACATCAGCATCGCTGCTGATATCAAGGACCACGAAGAAAACAAAATTACTAAGAAGGTCAGGCGAGGTGCGTCCTTGAAAAATGCTATGAATTCCATGAGCAACTGGCTTCCGGATCTTCATCTGAGTAAACGGCATCGAAGTCAGTCGTTGCCAGGTGGTGTCCGAAGGGAAGACCTGGACACCTCGCAGGAGCAACAGAGGTCGCAAGAGCCACGAGGTCGAGGACGAGGACAAGCCCCGCGTAAGAAGAAGAAGCATACCTTGGTCTCGACTGTTTCTGGAATTTTGCAGAAAGCCAAACGCAGGAGCCACCAATCCCAGTCGCTCTCTGATCCTGAGCAATCAGAAACTGAATGGAGCAGTGGGAGGCAGAGCGGACTCTCCGAAGACGAGGATAGCGTTATGTCTGATGCCAATCAAGAGCCTCCGTTCTTTGCCAAAGTCAAAACGAGCACCAGGCGAAAGGGTCAGCAAGCGGGTCCGATATTACAGCAACAGCAGCAGCAGCAACAACAAAATCAACAGGGCCAACAGCAGCAACTGCAGCAGCAACAGCTACAGCAGCAACAGCATATGCAGCAGCAGCAGCAGCAACAACAACAGCAACAAATCGAACTCATTCAGCAACAGAAAAATTTCATGCAACAGCAGCAACAGCAAGAATACAAAGAGTTCCTTCAGAAGCAACAACAAAGTCTTCAACAGCAACAGCAAACACTGCAACAACAAATACAGCAGCACCAAGAACAGTTACAGCAGCAAGTCGCGCAGGACGTTACTAAGGAACGAAAGCTTGACGGAAGCGAGCAAGAATTCTCAGACTGCGTTCCTGCGACCGAAGAAGAAGCTTCCGGAAAAAGTACTGGCTCGGGATCCGGTGGCTCGTCAATCTTTGCCACCGTTGGCGACATCAAGAGATCGGCCGGAAGTTCCGACGAGGCTCCCAACGAGAAGGCTCCGAAACTTCCGCCGGTGACGTTGATGGGCGGTGCCAGTATGGAGTTTGCCGTTTCCCGAGCTCTGGGAAAATATCGTCAACGTCAATCGTCCACCGTGACGGATGAACAAGCATCCAACGAGGAGTCCACCGTCGACCGGAAGTCCGACGACGGTGGGATAAGTGGCGCACCTTCGCAGGAAGCCGCCTACGAATATCCGGAAGACGTTGTCTCGGAGAAAAGTGAGAAATCTGGTAGCGCCAAGTTACCGGAACTGGTGACTAGTGTCTCGGAGGAGGCTCCGCCATCGGAAGGAAGTCCTTCCGCCTCGAGTCTCCGAGGTCATGGGCCTGGTAACAGGTTCTTACCAAGACACCAGCAGTCCCTGGAAATTCCTTGGAGTGGTCGGGGGGATCCGGACGAGGACAATCGTAGTACTCATTCATACAGAAGTACCTCGAGAGTTTCCTCCAGAAGACAAAGTACGGAAGACTCCATAGATTCCGAGGACGAGTGGTACTGTTACGAGCTCAGGAAATTGGAGGAGCTGGAGAGGCAGTCCCAAATGGAAATTGAGATGGGTGTCGTCCTGGTCGAGGAACCTGAAGAGACTGAACCTTACGAACCGGACGAGGACGTCAAGGAACGCATGTCCTTTGTGTTACGGGAACTTCGGCTCAAGGCCAAGCCAAGGGACGAGGTCGTCGAGAAGGAGATCAATAAAGGAACCAGGATCAATGGCACGGTCAAGGACACCAGAGGAGGCCGCGAAGTATTCCGTGATGAGAAACCAATACCAAAGCGGAAGACAGCCGAGAGCGTGGAGACAGTTTTTGCAAGAGTGACTGACTATCACACCTGGGCCCACGAGGAAGAAGCAAGAAAGGAGGAGAGACTTCCGGCCCCTATGGAGGAAGGTTCCTCAGGTGAGACCTCAGGTCCCGACAGTCCAAGACAGTCGATGGACGAAGACGAAGGTGAGGAGGATGAAGAGGAGCTGGCCAACGAGGAGCGTTCACGAAGAAGCTCGAGCGGCTCGACCTTGAGGCAGGATCGGGTGCCTCCTGGCTCGGATTCACTTTCTCGCGAAGGTAGCGTAAGTGTAGCAGCTAGCGAAGTCTCAGTGAGCATCCCAGGTGGCTGGGACTCTGAAAGCACTGTGATTGAAGGAGAACGCGAAGGGGCCGAAAGTGCTGAGACCGGAACCACAGCGACGCTGAGCCTACCGAAGATCAAGATAGACTCCTCCTCGTGCGGTAGCTCGGACGCTACCCTGAAGGAGGGTCAGGTCAGCCCTGGGCCGCCAGGATCTAAATGGAAGCTTCTGAAAGCCTTGAAGGAACGCAAGGCCGAAGAAAAGCTGAAGGAGGTTGAAGAGGCCAAGGACGCCACGATCACCCAGGGACCCACGGCAGTGAGTATCATGATCAAGTGAGGACGGGAAAACCTTGGTAGAGTCTGTTCGAGGTTTGGTTGGGCCAATATTTAACTGATAACGTACCTAACCCATCTTACAACCTTTCGCCCTTTCATCGTACCTCGTCCCTAACCTTTCTTATCTACTTTCATTACCCAACATTTCACTCCTCATCGTCCTCGTTACCCTTGAACCCTGCTCCGACCTCACATGGGACCTTCGCAGTCCCGGCCTACGTCAGCTACCTGACTTAACCGAGCCCTGCCAATGTGAGAAGAACCTCAAACACAACCCTGACCAAGATCCACGAAGATGAAAATGGGCCCAGCTTCGCTCGGACGTACTGTCTACCAGGAATCAAGGTGTTACATAATATGGATCCACAGAGTCAATAAAGGTTGACCGTCGTAGGCCGTTGCGCAATCCTCGGATGGCCTACCACCCAACTATATATAACGTATACGCATAAAGGGGTTAAGAATGATACTAGTCAATTTAAGTAAAAACGATAAGCGCTTGGCTAAGCAATATTTCTAAGAGCCTCTAATCGACGTCGGACTAATGCGAAAACAGTCGATCCACACAGCACACACACTGAACAGATACCGAGATACGTTCCAAGTGATATAAATAGGTAACGCAGAGCCGGCAAACGGTGCTTCGTGCCACGACGTATATGCTTTAAGGTAGTTTAGAAATGGCGGCCGATCCCTGCGCGGTCGCTCTTTCAGCCTCGCAAAGACGCCAGGCTTCTTCATGGAAAGAGCCCTTTCACCTAATGCCGGAATTAATTAAAGCCGACAGTGACGACGGCCTAGCCGCAAATACCGCTAGGAATTAAGTAAGCTCGCCGCGCAATGAACACCGGCCTTAAGGCTTTCCCCATACAGTTTAAACCCATCCGATTACTTATTCCTGAAATATCGGGTCGAGAGTCAGGATGAAAGACTCCTTTACCTTTAGAGACTTAGATTCTAGCGATTCTTTTAGATCGGAATTCCCAGCCAGAGTTCCTACTCGTCTGGCAGGACGTCAGGACGAACACGTGACTCTCGCATGACACGTCGGAGTCGTACAGGCGTCGTTACTTGTGCACATCGAATTACTTGTGAAATCTACCCACCCACCGATAATCGTGTTGCTGACCTTTGAACTTTGAACTGATTGCTCGAACCCTTCGTACCCAAAGGTCAGGATTTCCTTATTGAGAAAAATTACAAAGATATACGTCTGGTGTATCTAGATGCATATTATGTGATCATAACCATCAGGTACAAATAAAGAGCGTCGCGACGCCAATGGTGCAACCATTAAGCCAGTAAGATTTTTAGACGTCTACGTTAAAGAGAGAGGTCTTTAATCATAATTACGTTCGTGTTCGGCCATTTTCTATGACTTAAACTTCGCCACTCAGTATTACGTGGACAATACTAATTTTTCATGTCTTATTTATTTTTTCTTTCTTTTTATGCATATTACATTGGGCCGACCAATGATAATAATGATAATGATAATGATAATAATAATAATAATGATACCGTCACTCCTTTGTATTCCTTCAAGGTACCGGAATGCAGTTCTTCCCTCGGGCTAACCTTTATTTATTTTTATTTTTTTCTTATATTTTCCGAAAAATAAATAGTAGGAATCTACACTTCCGTGGTAATGCGACCATTCGCGAGAATAGGATCTTTTGCGTATTTAAGGGTTACTGTCTTGTATCTGTACACGATATTGCGCAAGGGTAACATCGGATCAGATTGAAATGCATATTTATACGGCTGAAATATATAGGAGCTTTCAATTGTTACTTTTGGCCGTGCGCTTTTGAAACGGTTTATATAGGTCGTGAAAAAAGAAAAAAAAAACGTGAAGCTTTTCAGTATATCGTATAATCGCGATTAGACGAGGCCGATTGTTTGTCGTGCGTAATGATTAATCGATGTTTAGGAATATTAATCTAGGAGCGTAAATCGTTAGATGACGAGCCGTGGAAACGCGGGAAATTCAAATATCTTTTGGTTAACCCGGTGGTGGCCATAAAGATGAGAAAAAGTGAATCGAGACGATCTTTAACTTTTGAAGCGACGTTCTTGTCGAGATGAATCTCTTTTTTCGCTATATATATATATATATATATATATATAGCGAAGCAACAAAATGGAGGATCTGTCAATAGGGAGACTCACGGATTTCGATATATAGATTTTCATATTTTCCTTCCTCCTCTAACGCCATTCCGCTTCCAGCATCGAATTTTACTACAATCTTCACTTTTCACCCCCGATCGCTCGTCAATTGTTGGGTTTCCTTCATTTAACATTTTTCAACGTCTTTCACCCAAACTCACCGCCAAGTCGTGTCGGCGACATATCGAATACAATCGAACATTCCAGAAAGTCACTTTCCTCACGCGAACGGCAGTGGTGACATGATTTCGAAATATTGAAAAAAGCAATTAAGATTCGAATTTTCCTAAATAAAAAAAAAAAAAAAGAAGCAGAGTCACTAGATATTGTTGAAAAAATGAAAAATTCTCCTGAAAATTCTTTTAATGACAATCTACAAACTCATTAATCTCAAGGGTAGTTTAATTGATAATTTACTAATTAATTTCTTCCCCGAGCATCTCCCTACTTGTCTTTCTGATCGCACGTGACGTCAAAATTATTATCCCACATTCGCGCAATTATAATTCACCCTTTAAAGAGGATTGAAAGAGGTTACATATAAATATACCAGCTATACGTCGCCATTCGCGAATAACTATACCCTTAGCTATCTCTGATCTCTGACCTCCGACCCGCGGAGAACAGTTGAACCGCGTTCCGTCCTTTTCCAGCATTTTCATGAACGCCGTATTAATTAACGAGTGGTCCAGCCCACGAATTTTCACGACGAACACATACAATTTCAATTTAGCACATTACGCGACCTTTGAAAACCACCCCTAAAGTTTCGCTAGATGCCGGCAGGAATCAGCATAATAATTACCCGTTTGTATGCAGCCACGTTGAAAAATGCATCGTATGACGTAATTTTGCTCTTTGTCAAAATTTTCCTTACGACCCCTAATCGACTGTGCCGGAACATCGCGATTACGGAGTTAACCCCAATTACCGTATGGCTCGCGAATTAAAATATTGGCATCTCGATATAAAGGAGAAATCCGTGAGCTCCCATAAATCAATTAGCTTCGCCATTCATCTTAAATGGAAACACGGTCAGTGAGATTGTCGATACGAGTAGGCAGAGACGGACGTATAACCAGTCGTACGAACTGGCGGAACGAAAGAGAGAGAGCGATAACGAGCTAGCCAATGAGGATAACAAGGAAAGAGAACTACAAGGAGATAAAGCGAGATAGAGGGAATAGGAATAAAGGCCGAAGGAAGAAAACACGAGACCAATGACTATTTCTCACTTTTATACGAACCAACTTCTCGCACACCTAATATACCTATGAATAACCATCTATGCGCACCAAGCTACGTAAGAAATACACTTTTCGATTTACAATAATGACAACGTACACATTTACGCAAAAAGAGATGCAACTAATGTACCGGAATTAGGAATACGTATTTTCGGTTTCTCGTACCACGGAGAAAAAATGTATAGTTGCCATTGCTAGAGCAACGGTTGGTATTTGAAAAAGAAAAAAGTTTCTAATGACGACTCTGGTGAGGTTTATAAAACGAATTTGGGGCAATTTATAATAACAATGATAAATTTTAATAAATTTTTTTCGCTCTTACTACAATCTTTTTTTGTCAAATACTAACCGTTGCTCTAGTAATTGTTTTTCTGTCTGTGACCTACATATATTGTATATGTAACGTCTTGAAATTTTTTTCTTTGGACCATCGCTAATGGATTTTCTTGAATTCTTAATGCGGACGAAATCGTTATTTCTTTTTCCACATTTCACACACACACCACACCCATACGTATAATTCGTGTGTGGAACACGTACCTATACGTTAGATTCAGTGTCAATTAATATCTATAGGAATATTACATAATTGAATGAGCAGAGTCCCTGTTCGAGGCTAGGATAATGTATCTCGCGGGGCTTTTCGATTAATTTGAAGATTTTTCGAAGGTCGTTAAAAAAATAACGCGTGTTCTCTTTTTCATCCTCGCGTCCGTCTCACCAGGTAGATATTAAAAAAATTGGTAAATTATCGTACTTTTAATGAAAAAAAATTTCAAAGAACGGCTGCCTACTTTAACAAGTTCATGGCTTTGGATTTCTTGGGGCTTCTTTTGAAATGAGTGACGTAAGGATGAGTGGTGGTAGAGGGAGGGTTGTGAGACGGAGGGATAAAGCCTGACACTCATAAAAGCAACAGACTCTCCCGCATCGGGTCGTAAAGGCGGACGCGGAATTTACCTTGGATTTAAATCCAAAACTCAATCCCATTTCGTTGCTACGTGAAAAGTTCGAGTCTTTAGTTACGTGGAGGGGGGTCTTATGTACTGTTATTTCAAAAGTTACTGGTCACGTATATACCGGGTAACTGATTGGGTCTGGATATTATTTTCTTTGGAAACTTTGTTTTCAATCAATATCGATTACTCGGAATCACTTCGGAGATTTGTCGGTTGAAAATTATTCTTCGGGAGGAATCCGTTCTGGATTAATCCGAGGAAACATCGTAAAAATGTTGCGCGTCTTATTATTAACAAAGTGAAACACTCGGAATTCGCGATCGAGCTAATCTCTTGAGAAATTTGAGGATTCTACGAGTTCAAATTGTATCGAGTTCCTTTATCCGAAGAGAAAGTGGAGCGTGGGAGAGTATTAATTAAAAATTTTGATTATTAATTAAAAAGTTCGCACGTCATGGAAAATGCATATTTGATCCTGAATTAAAATGAGGATGAATTGAAATTCGTATGAACCCCCTAATAACCCCTTAAGGTGTTCCCCATGAACCCTTATCAAAGTAATATACATATATATAATAACCTGATATACTTCATATCTAATTTCAATTAGAACAAAATAACAAGACGGTTCAAAACCAACGTTCGACATTTTCAAAATAATTTTGAAACAAAAAAATGTCAACGTCAATAACTTATTTAGTAAAATTTTGAGAAAAAAAAATAATATGCCTGGAACTTATTTTAAATGGTGAAAAATGCTCATTGAAAATTTACGAGGGATTCAAAATTAATTATTCTCTTTCGTACAATGCGAAGCTCCAAAGTGATGGTGATGTAATAACCGGAACGGGGACAGGTCTAGATGAGGCGGGATTTTCAAATTTCACGTGGATTCGTGACTGCGAGGGTGGAGAGGAGGACACGTGAGACGCGTGGGGG